AATTGATTGCTTACAATCCAGAAGCTTAATCATTCTAGATTATCGCAGACAGACAAGCAAAAAATAGGAGCGCATCGGTATTTCTTTGGGAGTAAAGTGGATAGCAGTAACACCTTGTTCCTTTATTATTTCCCTTATTTTTTGTTTCATTTCATATAACCCCGCCATCTTTATTTCCCTTTCTTATATTTTGTAGTTGAAAAATAAAAATATTGGTTTTGCCTGTATCGCCTTTCGCTTGTTGATGGTTCTGTATGATTTTTGCATCCCTCCAACGCATGTTCGTTGTGTCTCTGAGCCGTATATGACTCGCATCTCTACACCCTCTCACATTTCATTAAAATTCATTAATAAATTGTTTCCACATTCCTCTTTCCAACCGCTTCGGCTTTCTTTAGGTGGCACACCGCTTGTACCTGCTATTGGTAGTGGTGGCTCTCCTGCGGTATTACGACGCAACGGCAATGGCGCCGCTCTTGCGTCAGCTGGCACACCAGGCACCACTTTGCACAACAACCCGCCTCCGCCACTTTACTCGCCAACTCCCAACGCCGTGTTGGTACCTGCCTCCGTCAATGGTAATGTCACAAGCGCCGCCAGTGCTGCTGGCAGTAGTGGAACAAGTGGCGCATTGACCGGCACAACTGCCGGAAGCCTAAGTACGTCCGGCAGCGCTGGCACTAGTGGCGCCGCAGCGAACAGCGCGCAAGAGTTTTCGTTCAAGGCCAAGCAGGAGGTTTATGTGCTGCAGCGCATCTCCGAGTTACAACGAGAGGGATTATGGACTGAAAAACGGTTGCCAAAACTGCAAGAGCCCAGCCGCCCGAAGGCACATTGGGACTATTTGTTAGAGGAGATGGTTTGGTTGGCAGCGGATTTTGCGCAAGAGCGCAAATGGAAGAAAAATGCTGCCAAGAAATGCGCCAAAATGGTGCAGAAGTACTTCCAGGACAAAGCGAATGCAGCACAGAAGGCGGAGAAGGCACATGAGGCACACTTGAAGCGGATAGCGGCCTTCCTCTCCAAAGAGGTGAAAATGTTTTGGTCAAATGTGGAGAAATTGGTGGAATACAAACATCATACGAAGCTCGAGGAGAAGCGTAAAAAGGCGCTTGATCAGCATTTAAGCTTCATTGTCGATCAGACAGAGAAATTCTCACAGCAGCTGGCCGAGGGCATGAATAAAAGCATAATAGAAACAGCTGCGGGGGCTAGTGGTGCGCCAAGCATGGATTCGAGTAGGATATCATCGCCTAAGCGTGAGACCGCGGGCAATGGGTCTGATGGTAAGTGCATACATATATGTAGATAGTCAACGCGATCCTTAAATTTTTGAGATTAGGCTTCCTTAGTGGAAATTGAGATTGTAGTTGAAATTAAGATTAAGAATAGGATATAGGTGATATCATCAATTAAAAAGTAACTATTGTCGAGGAGTCAGGAGAAGTTTCCCTTCGCTGAATCAGGCGCCCTCACTTATTTTTTTATTTTTTCTTTTAGATGATTTCCGTCCAGAATCTGGATCAGAAGATGATGAGGAAACAATTGCCAAAGCTGAAGAGGAAGCGGCAGACGTCAAGGAAGAGGTTGCGGCCTTAGAAAAAGAATCTCAAATGGATCTTGATGATTTTCTGAAAGATCTGCCAAAAGGCTACTTAGAAAATCGCGATAAAATTTTACTTGAGGAAGTTGACCCCAAAAGCAGCCAAGAAGATGACGCAGACGACACCGAGTTCGAAGCAAATGAAGACAGCGATGACGATGAGAACACGATTAGCAAACAAGAAGAAGAAGAAAAAGATATCGATCATCAGAAAGAAATTGATGAGTTGGAAGCGGATAACGACTTAACCGTCGAACAGCTGTTGGAAAAGTACAAATCGGGCAAGATTGATGAACCAAAAGGAACGTTGACGCGAAGAAGAGGCGCAGCGCCGCCGGCAAAGAAACGCGCCAAAATGGAAATTGACTCGGACGATGATGAAGTGGAGAATGACACCAGTAGCAGCGAAGGCACTGTGGTGGAAACTGAAAGTGAGTCAGATAACGAGGAAGAGACCAATGACGAAGAGAATTCCTCGGACGTAAGCGAAGAAAATGAACAGGAAGATGGACTGAAGAGTCTGTTGGAAGATGTAAGTTTAGTGGGCTTGTGTGCTTTAATTTTTATTGAGACTATTCTTCCTTCTACCTTGCAGACCGAGGGCAACAGCAAAGATGACATGATTAAAGATGCCGCCGCTCTAGCCGAAAGCATACAACCTAAGGGTAATACGCTGTCTTCAACAAATGTGGTCACGCCGGTGCCATTTCTGCTTAAACACTCACTACGTGAGTATCAGCACATTGGTTTGGATTGGCTTGTCACCATGAATGAACGTAAATTGAACGGCATACTCGCTGATGAAATGGGTTTAGGTAAAACCATTCAGACGATAGCGCTGCTAGCGCATTTAGCATGCGTTAAAGGCAATTGGGGTCCACATCTGATTGTCGTGCCATCATCGGTGATGCTCAATTGGGAAATGGAATTTAAGAAATGGTGTCCGGCATTTAAGATACTCACATACTATGGCACGCAAAAAGAGCGTAAGCTTAAGCGTGTGGGCTGGACAAAACCTAATGCATTCCATGTGTGCATAACATCCTACAAATTGGTGGTGCAGGATCAGCAGAGTTTCCGTAGGAAAAAGTGGAAATATCTGATATTGGATGAGGCGCAAAACATTAAAAATTTCAAGTCGCAACGCTGGCAGCTGCTGCTAAATTTCTCCACAGAAAGGTGAGTTGTGCGCAATCTATAGACACCTAGTACTTATATTTAGCACCATAATCAGTGCTTATTCGAATTGTTACTTAGAATAAGAACTACGCTTGGGTGCTCAAAGCAATAATTTGAAGCATTTCTTTTTATGAAGAGACTATGCAAATTATCTGCGCTGGCTTGTCAAATGCTTTGAAGACATAATTTAATACTAATATTTTAGAAGGGCTGATTAATTTTTGAAAATTTATTTATTCAAATTCATTTCTCTTCAGACGTCTATTGCTCACCGGCACTCCACTACAAAACGATTTAATGGAATTATGGTCGCTTATGCACTTTCTAATGCCATATGTGTTTTCATCGCATCGCGAATTTAAAGAGTGGTTCTCCAATCCTATGACCGGTATGATTGAAGGCAACATGGAGTACAATGAAACGCTCATAAGCCGACTGCACAAGGTAAGTTAGTCAATCGAAATTTCCATCTAACGCAATTATCTGTATTTACTTGCTCTCCCTTCAACAGGTCATACGCCCTTTCTTGCTGCGACGTCTCAAAAAAGAAGTCGAAAAGCAAATGCCCAAGAAATACGAGCACGTCGTAATGTGTCGCTTGTCGAATCGTCAACGCTATTTGTATGAAGATTTTATGAGCCGCTCAAAGTGAGTTTGTTGACAAATTGATAGTGCCATTTTGTAAGAGATTTAGAGTCGGTTTGTCATGTAGGTTTTAAAATTTATCTGCCCTTTAAACACAAATTTTGTGCTGAAAAAATTTTTTGAAGGGGAGATAAATTTTAAAACCTACATGAGGAAACGGCACTTATCCAAGAAAAAAGTTAACCTTTGCAATATATACCTTAAATTTTTCCCCATCTTCTCATCAGAACTAAGGAAACACTGCAAACAGGCAATCTACTAAGTGTCATCAATGTGCTTATGCAGCTACGTAAAGTCTGTAATCATCCAAATATGTTTGAAGTACGTCCAACCATTTCGCCATTTCAAATGGAAGGCATAACCTATGAAGCGCCAAGGCTAGTTTATAATTTGCTGGATTACGATCCATTCACGGTATGTTTTTGAGATGGCATTTTTTTTTTTTTTTAACAATTTCAGCATTTAAACTGATGATAAAATGTCACTGACATTCTGATCCAATCTATTATTGAGCGGATCGGGATAAAAAGGATGTTCGCATTTGCGAGGCATTTGTCTGATTAAAGTAATAGAGTGTAGTAAATTTTAAGAAAAAAACATAGATGCGCTTAGGCGCTCACGAGGATTTGATAAAACTGGTTTTTTACGTATCATCAAAAAGTAATTTATACGTTGTCAGAATTTTATTAATTTGAAATTTTTATATGGAAGAAATTATCTAGCACCGTCAACAAAAACAACTTCAAACATCTTGCTAGAATTGAATACCTAAAATATTTCTAAAAATTCTGAATAAAAAGTTAGAAATTTAGGCAAACATTTTTTGAGTTTTTATAATTTGTCCCCAAAGATTGAAATTTGGATGTACTATTCGCGATATAATAATAATAGATTGGCGCTTACACATATATTAGTGTTTGGCCGAGCTTCTCCTTCGATTTGTGGCATGCACCTTGATGTTGACACACAAAGCGGAGGAGCCTACAGTTTTACGCCGACTCAGAACGGCGATTGTATTTTTATGAGAATCGGTTTTTCATGACACTCGGAGGTTAACCATTGCCTGCCGAGGGACGACCGCTGTTAATAAAAAACCTCTTTCTATATTTTTTGGGATGTTGCTTTGACCAGGGCTTGAACCCAAGCGTTGCTGAGTGGAAGCGCGCGCTGCTTACCACTACACCACATATACATATAGATAGGCTGACTTCCAAAACGTCAATTGCATTGCATACGTACGCTGACGTGCTAATTTTTGTTTTGTTTTTTTTTTCTTTTAAGCGCATCGATTTGCATTCGTTAAATTTACTTCTAATTGATTTGGAACTCACCCTCACTGCTTACGTTTCGCACAAGTCACGCGTTCTGGAGCCACCCCGTAAGCTAATTGAGGAAATCGACAGTGCACCGGCGCCGCCACCACCCTGCCCGCGTGGCAAATTCAAATTTTACATACGTGTACGCGATCAGCAAGTGCAGCAGAATCTGAGTCAGCACAGCACGGCTATGGTACGCGTCGGCGCTAGTCCTGCTATGCGTACAGATGGCAAGAAAGTAGTACCATTGCGTGAAACGAATACAGCAAATTTGCGACTTGTAAAGCGTTTGAACAATATAAACCCCGTTAACACGTCCAAATTGCCCGCCTTGTCGATGGCACCTTCAACATCCACTTCGGCGGCCATTTCACTGGCCAGCAGTGGTGTTGGTGGTAGCATACGCACCGCCTCGGGCATATCAGTAACGCGCGTACAAGTCGCACCACAAGCGAGCGCTAATTTGACGCCACCTGCGGCAAAAATCGCCAAGCTGGTGCAGCATGGCAGCGGTAAGCCGTACTTCCTGGTAACATCTTCGGCAGGTAGCAGTTCGTTGAGCGATACCGTGAGTGGAAGTAACGCTTCGGGTAGCCGTTTAACGTTGGTGTGCAAAAGCGGCAGTGGCAACACCAGTTTAACCGCTATGAGCGCGAGTAGCAGTGGGAAGAGCGGCATAAGCATTAAGCCAAAGCCGGAAAATTCGAAATTATTAACCACTATTGCGCAGCAGGTGAAGAGCACCACCACCGATACTGGAGGAACCGACGATTTGGGGAACGCGATGGATGTTGATGAGCCAGAAACTGCAGGAACCGAAACGTCCGAGTCCGATCCAATATATAATATGCAAAAAATATTGGAAAAGCGTAAGGAGCAGCGTTTGGCGCGCCTCAAATTGGTTGCTGCTGTGAATCGACGCTGCATAGAGGGTGTGCCTATATATGGGGCGGACTGTCGCGAAACACTGACGAAATGTGTGAGGCCGAGCCAGACACTGGAGTACTCCAGCTGGCAAACGCGAAGTCACACCAACTGTTGTACAGCCATGGCGCGGCGCGATTGCTGGACGCTCAGCAAAATAATCAAATCATATGAGAAGCGCGTTGAAGATCTGCGACAAACCTTCAGCAATTTCGTCATCTATGTGCCACCGGCGTGTGCGCCGCGCATACGCTTCTACGTTCAGCATCTCACATCGGGACGTTTGCAACGTGAGCGTAGAATTGAAAACACTGTCGCACAATATTGTTCACCCAAGCTGACATTGCTGCATCCAGTCATCTCTGCGATGACCACACAGTTTCCAGATCCTCGTCTCATACAATACGATTGCGGCAAATTACAAACCCTTGATCTGCTGTTGCGTCAACTGAAATCCGGACAACATCGTGTGCTGATATTCACACAAATGACAAAAATGTTGGATGTGTTGGAGGCGTTCCTTAACTACCATGGACACATCTACTTGCGGTTAGACGGTTCGACGCGCGTCGAACAGCGTCAAGTGCTAATGGAGCGCTTCAATGGCGACAAACGCATTTTCTGCTTCATATTGTCGACACGTTCCGGTGGCGTTGGTGTTAATTTAACCGGCGCGGATACTGTGATATTTTACGATTCCGATTGGAATCCAACTATGGACGCGCAAGCGCAAGATCGTTGCCATCGTATTGGTCAAACACGTGATGTGCACATCTATCGGCTGGTGTCTGAGAAAACAATCGAAGTGAATATACTAAAAAAAGCGAATCAAAAGCGCATGCTAAGCGATATGGCGATCGAAGGTGGCAACTTTACGACCACTTATTTCAAGAGTTCCACCATCAAAGATCTTTTCAATTTGGAACAAGGCGATCAAGATGGCGGCGAAACAGCTGCAGTTGTTGGTGTGGCTAACGGCGGTCGTGCGGAGAAACCAACAACTTCTTCAGCAAGTGCGGCAGCAATTGTCAGTGAGCTGGGCAGTGAAATTGAGACGGAAAAGCAGTCGTTGCGTGCGTTTGAGAGCGCTCTAGCTGCTGCCGAAGACGAGCAGGATGTGCAGGCAACCAAGACAGCGAAGGCGGAGGCGGCTGCCGACTTGGCAGAATTCGATGAGACCATACCCATCGATGAAACGACAACGGCAGACGGCGCTGCAGCAGTGGAGATGAGTAAAGCGGATTTGGAAATGCAAAATCTCGTGAAGCAGGTAAGTGTATGTTAGAATGTACTGTTACGGGTTGAAGAAAAGGGCAATTATTAAAATAGTATTGGTTATTTTGAAATATGAATTGGAATTTAGATAGCAGTTTGCTGTATAATGAAGGGGTTAATGTTAAAACTCACCCTATCTGTAACACAATAACGGCATTAACCTTCCAATTGTTCAATTCGATTTTAAGTTCGCTTGGACGCGGTGGTCTGGTGCTAATATAAATCTTCAACGACGTTCAGACATAGTCAAAGCGAATAAAAACGCCTGATTATATCACTCAACGTTTTACATTTCTGTATTTATAGGTTTGTTCGTCGAGCAAAAAATTGCACGAAATCGCGTTCGTGCAGACCAAAAAATTATCCATCACTCAAAAACTAATAGCGTTTTCTTTATTCGAAATAATGTTGCATTCTGCCTTGCAAAATTTGCAAGTTTCTCAACATGAGAGAGATTTGAGAGAATTTTTTCTTACTCTCTGATATTTTGAGTTTTGGATAATTCTTGCTGGATTTTGGATGAACAAACCTTAGTTAGTTAGCTCCAAGGTGATTTCTCTAAGTTTCTCAACATCATGTGGTAGAGAAAATTTGAGCAATGCATATTTTCTTTAAATTTATATTCTCTAATCTACTAAAAACATTCGTTCTATTCCACAGCTCTCGCCTATCGAGCGCTACGCTATGCGTTTCGTTGAAGAAACCGGTGCAGCATGGACCGCCGAACAACTGCGTGCAGCCGAGGAAGAAATCGAAGCTCAAAAGCGCGAATGGGAAGCCAACCGCTTAGCTGCATTGCAAAAGGAAGAGGAGATGCTGAAAAAGGAGGCTGAAGCTGATGAAATGCTCACCTACAATCGCAAGGACGCAAGCAATCAGGTTAATAATAAAAATCAAGGATCTACAATTAGAAGAAAAGCTATGATTAAGTCGAACAGAAGAGTACTTAAAAAACAGTTAGGGCGAGGTAAAGTTGATAGGCGCCGGCGTAGCAGTGAGGCTGCTACTACTCTGGCGACAAGTAGCCGTGCGGTGAGAGCACGCCAGAATAGTAATATGTCGAAGAGGCGAGCACCAGTGAAAACTCGTAGAGGGACTAATCAGTGTTTGCGTGGTAAAACAGTCAGAGCAGGCAGGGCCAACAATGCCAGTAGTAAGAGTAGAGGTAATAGTGTTGAGCGTGAGAAAGAACCAGCGAGGAGTGTGCAAGGTTCTGCTAAGGGTAGTAATATGCGCAGAGCAAAGAGGTCGCCCTCACCAACAGCATCGGAAGATGATTTGGAGACGGCGACAACAGTGAAATCCACTAGAAAGACAACGCGCACGTCAATGGCAGCAGCTGCAGCCGCTACAACAGCAGATACAGATTGCGATATATTGTCGAACGATGGGACGACAAATGATAAACGCGTAACTGCTGCGGGGGTAAGGAGAAACGCGACGGGTGTGAAAAATCAAAGACTGCTGAATCGCCGCTTGCTCCGGCTCAAAGCGAATTCTGTTGCGACGACGCAAATGCGAAAGCGTAAAATAAGCGGTGGTGCTGCTGCAGCAAAGTCACCCCCAGCCAAGAGAAAACCAGTTGAAAAGTTGACGAACAGAAGCGCAGCTCAGCGGCGTCAACTGCGCAACAGTCCGCAGAAGAATGCGAGTGCAAATAAGTCTAAGTCTAATCGCCGCAGAGAAAGCGAAAGTGATGATAATGAGGACGAAGAAGAGGAGGATGATGATGAAGTAGCCGCTAGCGATGATAAAGAGGAGATCGAGCAATCGGCCAGTGAAAGCGAACATATCCAAGACGACAGTGATAAGGACGAAGCTGAAGATGATAGTGAGCAGGAAGCTGCAGAAGATATTGGTACAGCGGCTAGTGCGGAAGAGGACGATACGGAAAATGAGAATATGAATTACGACAGCGCACATAGCCATTGCAGTGAAGATTTGAGGGAAGAAGAAAGTCAAGAGGACGTGAGTGAAGAAGAAGAGGAAAAAGCAAAGACTGCGCGCAAAAAATCGCCAAGGAAATACTCACCGCACTGGAAGTACAACTCACGGGCTAACAATGTTACACCGCCGCCGCCAGCTGCTATCACTGAAGACGAAAGTGCCGCCGCCGCCACTGCCGAGGGCGAGGAGAGTCAGAATGATGCCTCCAGCTATGTAACAGTGCTCGATACTGCCGAACACGACTTCGATGATGACGTAGATGAGGATGAAGAGATCGTATATGTGAGCGACAATAATGCTAATGACGATAACGTTAACGATAACGACAGTGAAAATGAGAAAACTGACGCGCGAACACGTGCATTTGTGAATGAACGACGACGAAACGATTCGGAGGCGCCCACCAATTCAAACAGTTTGGACGTGTGGAATGCACACACGCAAATACAGGACACCACTATGACGAACTCGACATATTACAACGTGTCGGACGAATCAGACTCCGATGAAAATGAGACGCCTCTCGCGCACTTGAACGCCTCGGCGACAAAGCGCGGTACGGCGAATAGCAGCTTGTCGGCAACTAAGGCCACAGCCACGAATGTGACGTTAACACCTGCAGCGTACCAGAACCACGTCGATGTCAACAGTCCGCGTACGCGTTCACGCGGTGCGGTGAAAATCAATCTGTGGACATTAGATGTGAGTCCGGTGCTACCAGATGTGCGATCAGGTGCCACGCGAATGTCAAAAAAAGATACACAAACACAAAACCGACGTGGTCGAGTGGTGGCCGCAACAAAAGTCGCATCGGCAACGGAAGCGGCGGCGAGTAGAGAGCAATGCGAAGACGAAATGGGCGAAGAAGAGCACCTGATGGACAGTGATGCGGAGAATGCCACCTCCAATCACAAGCCTCGGCCAGTGAGTACGACTGTGCAAACAACAGTTGTAAGTACGCCGAATTGTAGACGAGCGGCAGCAGCGACGATAACAACGTTGAAACTTAATGCAGCAACGACCCATCGGCGACGGCAACAAAAGCCGCGTGTCGCCGTTTCTGCTGCTAATATACGTACTGGCACAACGACATTACACCGTTGGCTGCTCAAAACCACGAAAACTACCAGAGCTGCTGACGTGGACGCCAGCTCAGAAGCGGACGAAGGAGAAATACTCGATCCGCTGGCCGACAATAGTACGCTCTCAAGCATGGATTCTACAGGATCGATAACGATGGCGAAAGTGACAGCCAAAAGGAGTAGTAATGGCCCGACATGATGCAACAATATCGCCGCTCCTAACGCGTTTGGTTACACATAGTAGAAGACTATTTAGAGACGATTAGTGTCATTTCATGCTGCTGCTGCTGCTGCTGCTGTTGCTGTAGCGCGCTGCTAAAAATGATGTACCGAGTACGGAGACAGACAGTATTATAAGTACACTGTATCATCTATCGCTGTTGTGCATTGTGGTGCGTTGTTGTGGTCTTTTTAATAGGATAAACTATTGCAAGCTGGCTGCCTGCCTCTGCCAGTGATTGTTGAGCAAGCGAGCGGGCGGGCAGGCAAAACTTTCACGCAATGAATGCGCACGCGCATGCGCTAGAAGTTGGCTAGGGAGCCGCAGGAGAGTGTGTGCGTCCACAATTGAAAGTTTTGTTTGCCCACCCTTGAAGCTACCCTTGGCCGAGCGATTTTTTTTAATGTGGGTGGTTTAGAGAAAAAGGTTAAAACGTGCAAGCGCCACACACACACACACACACAAACCGGCGTTCAGTTGAGGAAATCACTATATTTAAAAGTAGATACAGGTTCATGCAATTAATTGTAAAAATAGTATATATATAAAAAAAAAACTATACATAAAAGCGAATCCAATGCTAAATCTTGTAAATACATATGTATGTTTAATTGCTAGGTAGTTAGGGGACACTCTTAATTGCAAATTAGTTGGCAAGAAATAAAAAAAGGTTTAGAGGAGTTAACGTTATAGTGATCGATGTGGAAATTATCATTTGACAATGTTTATGGAAAGAGAGAGAGAGGCGGAGACAGAGAGGGTGGGGCTTGAAGCGGAAGTGAAGTGGAAAAAAACTCAGTACTACAGCTTTTACTATGAGACATTGAATGCAAAAATGCAATACTTGGATTTCTGTTCGTTTTAGTTAACTGTTTCAACATGTGAAATCGCTATTTAATTATTATTTTTTCATAAGCTCGTCAAACTTTTATTAAGTGTTTAGTCACTTATTTTCGCTGTATTTGTATTGGCATAAAGCGCTACAGCGCTTGGACGATCGCAAATCTTTACTTCCATTGCTAGATGCTGCGTTTCATAGTAAAATTTGCTGTGTGCGCAAAAACAAAATACAAGAAATAAAATATTAACAAAAGCGACCGCTGTGCGTTCCATAGTTCCAATTAGATTTTATTTTAGCAATCGACTTTATGTATTAAGCCTAAAATATCAATTGGTACACAATACATATACGAGTATAGAAAAAAAGAACAAAAAAATAATAATTAAAAAAGTAGGGTTTACGCGCGTTAGTTACTTTTTTCTCGAAAGTGTATCATTACAGCATTTGCATATCCGTATCGGGTACACACATTTTTTTCTTACCTTGTTAACATTCATTTATGTTGTTGAATTTTTTATATTTTATGCTTGTATTGGCAAAAAAAGTTGATTTTTTTTTTTTTAATTGAGATTATGTTGTTTAAATTATACGCATTTCATGCACGCAGCATTATTAGAAATTAGAAGAATTTATTTTTCATAATTCTACAGAACAATTATTAAATTTATTGACAAGCAAATTTTTGCGAAAAAATTTAAATTCTTTCCTTATAGCTTTTTCTCTTGTTGATACTTTTTTTTGCATATCCGAATTCAACATTGATTTCTGACAAAATAACTTAAATCGACCAACACCGAATTTCCAAAAAGGCATTGAAATCACAACAAATGTAGGGTTAATTACCAATGGGAATAAGTTGGCATTTTTTCGATATAGCAAATTTGAAGCAAATTCAACAGAGTTCCTTTAAAAAACCCGATCATCCAAATTGTCATATCGAAAAAAGTGCTGACTTATTCCCTTTGGCAACGCTGTATCACAAATTTTAATTTGGTTTTTGTTCTCGGGTAAATTGTAAATTGTAAATTGTAAACGGTAAATTGAAAATATCTCGAAAACGTATCCATAGAAAAAAAAAAATAATAGCTCGATTTTCGGGATCACCGAGCAATTCTACATAGGAATTGGGTAGTGGGCGTCCATAGAACATTTATGTAATTTTTCAGTAAAAACACGAAATTGCAAAAATGGGGCTAATGCCGAGTTTTCACTAAAATAAAATAAAAAGATCAAAAAAGTGTAGCTTTTCAAGTGTAGCTTTTTCAGATGGAAGCAGACTTAGGGCCTAATGCACAGTGCTTAGTTAAACCATTGTTGACTTATAGTTCATTTCCACCAAGCAGTTTATGCCTATTGGAAAATGAAGATTACCACAGTACAAGTACAAGCAAACGAAAGTAAAAAAGTAAATAGTAAGAAATTGACCTTACCGATCAACACGTGTAAAAATTCTTGAAATTTATCACAGCTCTGTACTGCAGTCAAGCTTTTGGTGGAAATGGCCTATCACAATAAATCTACAAAGTTTAGTCTACAAAAATTAATATTTTTTAATATTACAAATTTGAAATTTGTTCCAAGAAAATTATTTCATAAGGGTTTAACTGGCGTTAAAGCACACTAAATTTTTTAATTTGAATGCTCAGTGGATATTCGGCATTAACAATTTAAACCCGGTGAACATTTAATTGCTATATTCTAGGCTAAACTGTGTAAAAGTTAACTAAAATTTTTGATTTTTCTGTAAAAATAAGAATCGGCAAGAAAAAAAAAAAAAAACAATCGAAAAAAATTATTAATGCAAAGTTTTCACTGGTCATTTGAATGACAAAAATAACAAAACAAAAGTTTGGCATGTAAGAAATGGACGCGGTAATTATTTAAACCCGTACTTTGTCCCTGAAATTTGTGTCGTTCCTTCGTTCCTTTGTCTAGGGGGAAATTCGGCATAAGTCGAAGTAAGTTGTTTTTATCAAATATATACATTTTTAGCTTAAATGTCATGCCCTCAACAAAAAAAAAAACTTAAGCGTTCCTCTTCATATCACATTCACCTTCGCACGACCCGGTCGGTACAATTACATAATAAATTACTTTAGTTAGCATTTTATTTAAAGTATAAGTAAATTAAATTGTTAAGTTAATTAATGGAAAATAGTAACAGCACATAATGTTTAGTATACTCCACGTAGTAGGCATGTATACTCGCCCTAAGGAAATATTTTTTTTCCTCTCTCCCAATACAAGTCGTTAGTTATTTCAGGGGCTCAATGCGCATAAAGAGGAAGGGAGCCAGAAAAAGAGATAAAAATTAGGGTACATAAAAATATTCCTCGTTTATTGGCGAGTTGCAATACACTTGTTGCTGTTGTTATATTGGGTGTAAAAACCTAAGAAGAAGGGAGCGTGTAAAGCAGTCATGCCCAACGTTGGCAGAACTCCATAAGCAAGTGCCCTGCGCTGGCAGAATTCCATATGCAAGTGCCCTGCGCTGGGCATGACTGGTGTAAAGCATATTTGTATTTATATTGTATACATATGTAAGTAGTAGGTATGTAATAATAATCGTTTAACTGATGAAAGAGCTAAAGAGAAAAGATGAAGAACAAAAGAAAAATGAAAAAAAAAATAAATAAAAACTAATTTATATGCTTTTAAAAAAGATCAAGTAACAAGTATCAAAAACAAAAAAAAAAAAAAATTGTGGTTTTATTGCAATTTTATTTAACTTTTACTGTGCTTGTCCATTGTCGTCGATTTTTTCGTAGAGTTCTCTTTGAGCTTCTTTGTTTTTGCACTGCTTTCGATTTTGTCGAAAGTTTAAGGAGACAAATAACAATCTTTGGCCCTGATTGTAACAAATCGTTTGGAAATAACTAAGCAGCATCATCTTCACTATAGCGACAATACAAGCAAGAAACGAATTAAAAAAGAAAAAAAAAAAAACGACGGCGAGTTCGAATGACATAGAAAATATATCTCGTACAAATATTATTTTCTGCTGTGCAAATTTTATTAGAATCTGTTTTGGTGTCTGTTTTTTCATTGAAGTCTTAGAGGCTAGAAAAAAAAAAACTAAATAAAACTCAATATCAAATTAAAAATCACTAGAACGTGTTGGGTTTGGTAAATGGTAGCAGTCACCGTAGAACTTGAAAATGTTGATCAGAGAGAGTCTGCATTATCACAAAAAAAAGCAATTTATTTACATAAAAAAGTCAAACAAATTTGAAATTAGTATAATTTTCTCATACCTAGCTTATTTTGCTTGGGCACCAAAACAGTTGCGCCAAATAACGTTAACCCAAATTCGACTACGGCTTCAAAACACAAAAAATTTAAATAATATTAATCTATAAAAAACAGATTTATGTAAAAAATATAAAATAAAAATAAAAGTATTAAGAATAACAAAAATTTTAAAAATAAAAATATAAAAATGTTGAAAAAATATCAAAATATATAAAATTTTTAAAATTAAACAATTTAAATATAAATAAAACAATTAAAATAGAAACACACAATTAAATGAAGACAAATTTTAATTAAATGAAAAAAGAAATATTTAAAAATAATACAATTATAAAAAATAATAAAACTATATAAAATAATAAAAATATATAAAATAATAAAAATATATAAAATA